ATGTTCAACTTTCACTTGTTGACATACCAAACATTGAGCAACATACTGAGCAATTTCCCTCTTCATATTATTCCACCAAAAGTTCCTCTTCAAGTCTTTATACATTTTAGTGCTTCCTGGATGTACAGTATATCCTGAACTGTGAGCTTCTCTTAGGATTTCTCTCTTGAGCTCTAAATCATTAGGCACACACAACCTCTCTCCAAATCTCAAGGTTCCATCTTTATGCATACAAAATTCCATCTGTAGCCCTATTTCCATTTCAGCCTTAAGTTTTTGCAACTGAGAGTCTCTTCCTTGAGCATCAAAATTGATATCATGGTTAGTAGAGGCCGATCTTTGATCGGGCGAGCGGGGGTGCCCACGAAGTGACCTTCCCTAATCGTACCCAAGTTCCCGAGCCGAGGCAACTTTGGTGATGACGGACACGTGGCCTTAGGCAACGAGTCAGGGTTTTCTAAATTTCCCCAAAAATAAAATATTTAGGTGGGGACTCTATATCTGGCAAAGCAGTCCATGTTTGGCACTTCTTTCAAAAAATCTGTTTTCAAAAATGATTTGCCAGATTTGGACTCTTTGATGATTCATCGGTCTTGCATTGCACTCTACGAGATTAGATACAGGACCGTGACTTTGAGTCCTGAACTGTAGTGAGCCCAATGAACAAAACGGGATTTATCCTTCCGGGACGTTCGGGGACGTCTACAACAGTGTGCTTGTCCTAAATAAGAAATGAATTAGCATAAAAAATAAATAAGCACACAATTATGATCCCTAGATAATTATTGAACAGATAAGAGATTAGAAGAAATAGAAGACACATGCAAGAGATAATTAAGAGAGAAAAAGTAGGTAGGAGTAGGCAAAATGCATGTACCAATGTGGTGAATAGGTAAACAGTGGTGATTGTGACCACTACTAGAGCTGCTCTAAATGCAGCTCTACTGAGCTGGCATACAATTTAAAAACAAAACAAATAAAGGAAAAAAACAAAATACAAAGAGGAAAAAGACAAATTAATGCTCCTCTTTTAGTGGTCTAAACCATTTTTCATAGGCAAAGAAGATCTATTCCCAACAGTAACTTGATCCTGGTTGTGATATGGTTGAGAAATGTGAGGATTGGACAAGTCATTCGTGATGTGATTTGTTGCAGCTGAGTTTATGTACCAATAGACAGTCGAAGCTGACGAAGACTGCTCATTCTAAGGAATAGTAGCAGCATAGGCTCTAGTATTCAATTGATTTCCTTGAGACTGAGACGTAGAGGTCAGAGGCTCAAAAGACTAATCCATTCTATGCCAACAATCAAAAGCAATGTGGCCCCATCTTACCTCAAATTTGACAGCAAGAAGAACCATAACTAGAGGAATGATAATGTAGCTTTCCTATGTTGCTTTGATTGTAGAATCGATTGCCATCACGATTACAATTGCCATTATAAAAACGACCTCTACCCCTAAAATTTCCTCTACCTTGAAGATGTGAAGAAATGCCGCTATATGCATTGAAAGATAGAATAGACTGAGCGCCGAAACTAGATAAAGAGGTAGGGTTTGAACCGTACGAAACAGAGTACACAACAATGAGATTATGATTATCATAGTGTTTGATTTTACATTCAATGTGAATTGCTTCTGAACACAAGGAACGTAGCTCATCCATGGAAAGAGAGTCAGATCGTGCATGGATTGTTGTTTTAAGAGCATCATATTCATCTGATAGACCATTAAGAATGATTAACATCATATCTTCATCATGAATATTTGCAGATGCCAAAGACAATTGATCTAAGATTTCTTTAAATTGAGCAAGATATTCTTCCATGGAGAGAGATTTCTTGGTGATTGTTTGCAATTTAGTCTTCAATTGATGAATATGTGATCTTGATAATGAAGTAGATTGTTTTTCCAGGGCTTGCCACCCTTGAAAGCAAGGAGTATAATGAAGAACAAATGAATAAACCGAAGGAGATAGAACAATTAAGTAGCTTAGGCAGTGAGCTTCAATTACCTCCCATTTGGTAAATTCTGGATTCAGAATTCGTTGTTGTCCAATTGAATCCATGATTTCTTAAGCAGGACAAACAGTCAAACCAATTGCATAACTAAGGAGGTTTGTAGCACGAAGAACATTCTGAATCTAACTCCTCCATATGAGAAAATTATTTGAATCAAGCTTGACAGTAACTAAGGAACTAAGATTTGATATATGAAACTGTAACTGATGAAGTTGTTTCAGCCATTGTAGGACCTTGCTCGGTGGAGCTTGAAAGCTCTGATCTCTTTGGACTCTTAGCCATGCCCATATCAAGTTCAATGCTTCCACTTGATCAAGTGGGTTAAAAGAGGATCATCGAAACCCTAGGATTGAATCCTACATCAAAATAATGTGATGATTCAAGTGGAAACACCGCATACATCCAACACCATCACAACATTAAAACACATTTAAGCACAAGATTAGCACAAATCAAATGGGTTAGATTTAGCCAAAAGACACCCCGGATTCCAATTCTGCCTCAGGACACAATTAACTACGATAAAATTCCAACACAAAAACATAACAAAATGAAGTCTAAAGGAATCCTACTCTCCACCAATGTGTAGAACTATAAGGCATAGTACTAATGTTGCTCTTCTGCCAAAAGGAGCAGTGCTCAATTTTTACCCCAAAACCACCACTTGATCCACAAAAACAGCTTAAACCTATTGTATTCCAGAAAGTAGCGCAAAATAAACAAGAAAGGAAAAACACTGCTCAACAATAGAACATAACAGCTTTAACATTGTCTTTGATTTGGGGGAGTGGCTGAACCTCCAGACTCCTCTCCCTTGTGGCCTGACCTGCTCCACGTCCACCTCCACTACTTGATCCGGCTTCTAATGTTTCACCCTCGATGTAGTAGCGTGCACGAAATGCTGCCAAATGAGCATAATAGGCAGGTGGAACTGCAAAATTAAATCAACATCCTATTAATAATTAAGCACGTCAAGCATAAGAATTCAAACTTTACAGACAAGTAAAATTAAAAACATTCAACTGATCAAGGACAAACCTACTGAAACCGAACGAGTGCACCTAGCATATCTGGAGGGCAGGCAGCAAATATTTGTTATGATGGATTTGCAAAATACACAAAAGTTGTTGAAATCACAAGAAGAAAAAATCTAGAAGGGTCCAAGAAATTACGTGTAGCACAAGTTATTCGTCAGCATTTGCAAGGCATCCGCAGTAAATTTGTTTTCATCATAGAGCACATGGTAGTGTGTAGGCCGGCTTGTTCCCTGCTCAGATAAAGCAAACTCACTCAATAATTATTACTAGTACAATGAAATACTCGCTCGAGCACGCATCAAATCAAACTGGTGTGGTAGATTGGGATCAACTAAGCAAAGGATAACAGAGTTTACCTGAATACCCGCATGGCTGCAAAGATAGAAATCAAATTGCGTAGGGTGGCAAATCTTTGTTTCAACAACAGTACCTAATGATCACCAAAAAAGGAAACAGTTCCCAATGAGCAAGAAGTGCTCCCACAACATGGGCATGTATAGTTCAAATGAGAACCAAAATGCATACCTGGTAAAATATTGCCACTCCTATCTGTTGAATTGCGATCACCATGTTCTGCAGGAAAGAGGCGGGTGTGGTGTCTCTTCTGCACCACCACAAAGGTGACTCGTGGCAAATAATCTGCCTCCAAGGAGACACAAGCCTGACAAAAAGACACTGTTATATATATAAAAAAAAACATAGAACAAAAAACTTAACCGTTCAAGAAAAATAAGATTCCATTCAGCAGACAATGTTTCTGAGAAAGGGCTTCACGTTGCACAACAGTTGGCCCAAAAACTAATTTGTTACCTACCCACCTCTAATAAAGGCTGTCATTTCAATTAGATAAGGTAATCTAGCTAATTTTGTACCCTTTTTTTTGTTGTTGGAAGAGGGATTGGGGATTGGGGCACTAGTAGTGATGCTGCTCAACATGATTTTTTTTGACAAATAAACAAATATTATTAGAAAGACATCAAGACGATGCAAAGAATACAAAACACAAGCCTAAAACAAATCAATGCTCAGCATGATTTTAGTAATCATGGTCACATGAAAAACAAATCAATATGCTATAGGTCAAAAATATTGTCACACATGTAAGATGAGTACTTCCTATTTTTAAACAATAATGTGTACCTTTCTAATGGCATCCATCTCATATAACAGAACTTGATTGAATTGACCTTCACTAACTCCATCTCTGCAATAAATACCAACGTCAAAATGTTGCATAATAGAGACAGTAGTCACTTGCATTCTCAAAGCAAGGATTCACCTGTAAAATATGATTCTACAAGGTTTTTGCCCAGTTGATCTCCGAAACGAAATCAACATATCCCTGCAATAAATGTCAATTGAACGAGAGCAAAGATTATGCTACATTTACCACAACAAATATGAAGAGAAAAGCCAACTTTTTACCTAATCATTCCTCCGTGAACTATCTCATTCTTAGCATTCAGAGAAGTTTTGTAGAGATCCTGTATAATTTCCTCCCTGTGAGGCTGTGCAGAGACCAATCCTCTGTATTTAGTTGCCTCTGGCCAGTCCATCGATGCAACCACCTATAACAAATTCCTTTTTAAAAGCAAGATAAATCCGACATTAAGCAAACCAATAAATGAAAAAAGATGCAAACAACTTACTGCAGCTATAGATGGACTAGAATCCTCCCCGGGTTGAGGATGAGTCACATCAGCACCAAATATTATCGTGGGTAGATCAGTTAGAAAGGGAATTTTTTTCTCAAGAGCATTAGCCAACACAGTGTTCCGTCCACCAGCCTGTAAATAATATTATTAACAAAACGAGGGGGAAAGGAAAATCAAATTACCAAATTTTTAAATAATGAAAACCAACATGAATATTTTGAGCACATATTGAACAACACAAACACCTTCACATTGATCTTTAGAGAAACATTTTCAAGATACTGCTTGTTGCACTTCATTGCTTGCTTGGGCTGACAACACTGGGATATGATTCCCAACTCTGTTTCACACACCCGCTTAATCCTTCCTGTCAAAAGTAAAATCTCATCAAGTCAACGTCTCTGTCAAATTAAAAAAAAAAAAAAAATAGTTTTAGTTACTTACCATAAGATCCAGTGACTTCAGGTAAAATAATAATTAACATTTGAAGTTGTTCATCAGCTTTCCCTATGCTCGTTAGTTGCACATTAGACTGAGTGTGAATTTCAACAAGGGTCCTCTCAATCTGAGCAGGATGTGCCAAACGGATGGGAATTAAAGGCATCAGATTGAAATCCTTCAAATAATATCAGGCAAGGTCAAGTGTCAATTTCTTCAAATTCAAAGCAGATGTTCCAAATGACCATGACGACTATAGAATGAGAAACTCATACCATCCCTTTATTCCTGCACATGTCGACCAAATTCTCACAAAATTTGAAAACCTCATTTTGCCTTAGCCGTGAGAAGCTCACACATGTCCAAAACTCCACCTTGCCACCATTAACCATTTTCTGCACAACCAAACTAACGAAGGGTCATCCTAAAGTACAAAAGGCATTAGCATCTTCTAGTTCATAAATTCTTTAAGAAAGAATAATGCCAGAAGATTTGACTATCAATTGACTTTAAGATTCATAATAGCTTGCAGCAAAGATAAATATCAAATCAGCAACCAAATACTAAACCTTATCAATCATGTTCCAACACCCCACTCGTGGGACCTCTTGTGTACCCTGGTACTTAAGCTGCAACAATTGAAGAACTGGTTAAAGTAAATAAAATAAAATAAATAAATAAAACATATGAAAGTGAAATATTTATTCATAACAGAAATTAATAGATAAAAAACTACCATTGGAGCTGGAAGGACACGAGCATCAATAGATGTGAGTTCAGTCTTTACTCGAAGCCCAAATTCATTCACAAACTTATCATTATTGTAATTGTTACGCTCAACCATCTGCAATGGAGCAGCATCATCCAGTAAAATAATGGTGAACAAAGTAGGAGAAAACAATTTCCCTATATTTTTGGACATAAACTAAAAGATGTATACTATGAGATTTATGAAATGATTGAGAACTCTAATAATCAAAACTAACGATGATCTTAACATATTCATACCCTGCTAATACTTTGTACTCTCTCAAAAGGACGTTGACAGGTCGCCCTTAGCAGAGCAGTCACTTGCTTTTCATTCAACTTTTTTGAATACCTTTGTCCTTCTACAATCTTACAAAGCTGTAGTGGAAGACAAAACAATGCAAGCTAAGATCCCTACTGTATAACTTAAAACAGAAAATTACGTTTTAAAAATGAGAAAACCTCCATTGGTAGGTAAACAGGCTTTAAGTCACTGCCAGCTTGAAGTGCAGGCAAGAACGCAAACTTTAGATTGATGTGGTATCTCTCACGAAAGTATTGAATAACTGATATCTTAGCATCCGTGTCATCGCGGGCAAACCTATTAAAAAAATGGTCATAAACAGGAAGTGGTATAGAAAGACAACAAATACATGATAAAAACCAAACCAAAGTCAAATGGTGCACTATATATTTGTAACATCATATTTCCATCTGGTTTGTCATCCAAGCCAACAGACATAAAGTGATAAACAATAAAGCAATTTCAATAACAGTGTATTTGTGTTCAAGCTTACAATTTAAAGAGAAATAACGTATGCGCAATTTTAACTGGTACATAAATATTATCTGGCAGCTTTAAATTTTTGAATCATCTAATATTTGAGTTGCTTCTAAAAATCCTGAAAAACAGTTTCTGCCTATGGAAAAATTGATATAATCCATCTATAAGCATAGCAACTTCTGTTTTGCACTGGTAATAATTAAAGCAATTTGCGAGAATGGAAAGAAGTCTAAAAATAACTAGCTCACGTCAATTGGCTTGTTGGCTGAGCCGATACACCAGATATTTTGTACCGTTTGCCATCCTCCCTGTGGGTAAGTTCTACCCGAATACCTTTCAAAGCTCTCTTAACCTGGTATCACACAAAAAAAGAGGGAAAGTAGAAGGGCATAACGGTCAAATGTGGGTATGGTGCATAAAATATCAAAGCAAAAGCACATATATATATTTTTTTTTTGATCGGCAAAGAAAATTTTTATTGATGAAACCAACAAGGTGTGAAAGATTACATCAATAAAGAGGAGCTTGGGGCTAAAAAGCACCAAGCGCCAGTTGGTGAGGAACCAACAAAAGAGAGGAAGAAGAAAGACAACAACAGAAGCAAAACACCCAGAAATAAATACACAGGCAAGAGCACATATATATAATGACTGGTTGTGGTGGAAAACGTACTACTATAAAAAAAATTCAACAGACCACTATCTTTTACCATGACAACATTAAAAACAAAACCCTCGCTTCTAGAAAAAGCTACTTAATCCCTGCTTCACAGCCATTTACTAAGGTGTTCCCATCCACAGAAAATAGCACTGAATGACTGTATGCCGTGCTAGATGGTTAAGAGAAAATACCTTAATACGATCTTGATCAGACAGAGGTCTCGTTAGATCTCTAACATTGAAATATTTTGCAACAAAATCAGAAACCAGAATTGGTTCATAAAATGCTCTCGCTGACATGTCTGCAACAAGAGAATGAATAAGATGCTTTAGAAAAGGAAGCTATATAATCATAGTGGAGCAGCTAGTAGTAAAACTACTACTAATCTAAGAAGCACAGACACGAGACACGCATAGATACGACACGGACACGCTAATTTTCAAAAAATACAAGACACGACACGTGGAGGACACACATGAAATATATAATTTTATATATTTATTATATTATATATATATATATGAACATATCATTCAAAAATAATAAAAAATGTAATATAACACTTTTTTTATAAATTTACATTACTTTTTCTTTTATTATTGTATCATAAGTTAATTAGTACAAACTTATAATTAATTCATGTGTGTCTAATTGGAGACACATGTGTTTAAGCAATGGACACAAGTATCCAAAGAGTATACGGATCTAAAAAACTTTTTAAAAAATATGCCACATTTTGACACATGTTGGGAAGTGTCCAACAATTGTCGATATCCAACACGGACACGCCACGTTCTTAGAAGTGTGTGCTTCTTAGCTATTAATTTAGGATAAAATAAATATAAAAAGAAATGAAGGCCAACAATTAAAGAAATTCGTACCAATATTAAGGGAGAGACCCATTTGGGTTGGGCGAAGGCTTTGATAGAAACCTTTCCAATATTGTAAACCATCGCCAAGATCGCCTACTTCACCCAATATGGGAGAGAAGAATGACCTTCCAACAACAGTATAACTGCAATAAAAAACATATGCAATCAGTGGAGCCATCAAGGAAAATCATAAAAAGCAAATATGTTTAATTCTTTTAAGTCGAATGAGACTCACATAGTGGAAGGTGTTGATCGAAAAACTACATCAAGAACTTGTACAGTTTCTTGGGGTGCATCAAATTGCCTACCACGTAGAAACTCTTGCAAATGATGTATATCAGCTTTGGCGGCAAATTTGATTGCCACCTTGAACTCACGTTCTCTCCTGCAATTAAAACAAGCATGGAATTAAATTCAGCTAAATAGAAAGACAAGGGTGATTTACCAAAAAATAAATTTGATAGCCTAAGATACGTAGAAACTTCATCAAATTGAAAATTAGTTTGCCTGACTCGATGGATTTTCACTCCTAGGAGCACAGAACTTTGGGACAAATAAAGAAAGAAATAAAAGGTCAAGGACAGTTTAGTGTTTGCATAAAAAGTATGTGGAATGTAATTATCAACTTATCATATTATCTCAATTACAACAATCTAACGTTCCTTTGCATCTAAACATTGCACAAAAAATGATCAAAATCCATAATAAATTTGCAAATAAACAAGTCGCCTTTATTTTAAAGTCTACATATTTAAACAATTTTGTGTAATCCACGTCTCCAACCAATAGTAAAGAAAAAGAGAGGGAATCACCTAGTTTGATCATATTTGTCAACAAGCTTAACAACAAAGTCCTTCGAGATGAAAGGCAATTTCCCAGCTGTGAACAAACTCTTCCTTCCATCATAAGCTGGCCATAGTTTGCCTAAGTGAGATTCCCGGTACGAAGCAATAAGCTCACTTATTATGTCCCTGCAAACTTTCTTGGACGCAACCTCAGGAGTGATTGTCACCTAAAACCATCCATTAGAGTTCAATAAGAACTAAAATTATAGAATAAGCACCAAAGAAACTAAACAGGTAACAAACAAACCATAAAGGAGCCAAAAGCAAAACTAAAAAACAAAAACTCAACACAAAAAGCAAGTAACATGTTCATGGCCTATTCATACAACAATCATTCCATTTAAACACAAAGTAACTGCCAAACTTTTGCATACTTTATTATTATGGCAGAGGATCCTCTGTCCCCAAAACTTTGTCAGTATGTCCTAAGACACTCCATCATATCAGAATATCTAAACACGAAAATATGATACAATCATCGTGAGTGTTTTGGAAGAGGATAGAAATTTGGGTGTGCCCTATATAAATAAATCCACAGAGATACAAAACAACCTAAGCATTATAAAAGTACCAAATGAACACAATATGCACAAAATACAAACATAGAATGCACAATGAGTGATAAAAAATAATATTCAAAAATAAATAAATTTGTAGAAAGACAAGTACTAATATCGATTTCTAAGACCAAACAAGAGCCGCAAGCATTTGAACGAAAGAAACAAAAAATAAAATAAAATAAAGAGAGGAGTCAAAATCAGCACAGAATAAAACCGAATAAAAAAATCACGAATACCTAAGAAAAAACCAAAAGAGAAGATATAAAAACTGATTGACATGTATTCAGACTTTGAACCGACACACATAAATATAAACGTAGAGAGAGTATACAGAGAGACATAAATATAAACGCGTATATATATATAGAGAGAGAGAGTGTGTGTGTGTGTAGAGAGAGAGAAGAGGAGGAAACTGACGTCATAGTGGTGTAGATCTTTGTTGGCAACATCGACCAGAAAGTGATTCGCACGAACAATGCATTTCCGGCCGATCGTTCCGTACCCCGGCCTCGCCGGCGGCCTCAGAGACTTCGACGACGATGGCAACACCGTCATAGGCTGAACCGGCGATGGCGAAGTCTGCATCGATAACTTGCTCTCGACGTCTTGGCTGAGAGACGACACCTCAGTCCTCGTCGTCGACGACGACGGTGCTTGAGAAGGCGGAGGAGAATGTGAAACCACAGGAGGCTGACTCACCGTCGGCGGTGGCGCCTGAGTAGGGGCTGGTCCGGCACCGCCGCGACCTCTTCCACGGCCTTGCACGGCCGGCGAAGGAAGGCCAGTGCGAGGCTGGGCTCTGCCTCGGCCTCCACCGTCACCGCCACCAACACCGCTGCCGCGTCCACGGTTGCGTCCTGACATAGCTCTGGAGAAGAGTTGTAGAGAGAAGAAAACGGAAGACTGAAAGAGAAAAAAATAGTGTTATATGAGTAAACAGTAGAGAGAGATCGAGAGAGAGAGATTTGTATGCGTATGTATTTATCGATGGAATAGCGTGTATGTATGTATGTATATATATATATATAGAGAGAGAGAGAGAGAGTGGGGGGTTACGAAGACGAAAAAGGACAGAAATAAAATGGCGCAATATTTCCGTAATTAGATTGGAAACAAATTAAATTACTGGAAATTATAGGGGTAAGGATTCAAAATTATTTTATGCAATTATTTTATGATAGTTTTATTATTTTATAATAATTATTTTATGATAGTTTTATTATTTTATAATAAAAAAAATTGTTAACGTGTATTATTATATTATATTTATGTTAAAAAAATTAAAAAAAAATTATAAAAATATGCTTTTAAAAATTTATATATATACCTTATAAGGAAAACATATTTATTATATTATATTTAAATCAATGATTTAAAATTAAAATAAAATTATAGTAAAAGCATATATACTCCTAAATGACGTAGTTTCACTTTAATTTTAAACATAAATTGTTAGGTAAGCACAATAAAATTATTACAAAAAATCTATGATGCATCTTTCTTTTTTTGTAACTGTTAGATTTAAAAAAGATTTCAACGTATCTATAATTTAATTTTTCAATTAGAGAATCTCGTTTGTGGGTTTATCCCAAGCCCGTCTTAATTCTTAAACTGGTAAAAAGTTGATTACAAGTTAATTTTTTTGATTTTTTTGAAAAAATATATAAAAAATATAAGAGATTATGTGATTTATGGGTGTTTTGGGAAGGCACCAAAAAAGGTAAAAGTTAGCTTTTTACTAATTTTAAGTCACATCACTTTTCACATTAAGGTCTCATTTGGTAAGTAATTTTTTTAATCAAAAAATTAAAAAGTTATTAAAAAAATCAAAAAACAAACAATATATACTAAAAAGTCAAATATTTCTTTTTCTCTCTACTTTTTGTACATTTTTTCGTAAAAAATCAAAAAGCCATCCCAAACATATTTTTTTTTTTACATTATATTTTAACCAAAAATTCAAAAAATTACAAAAAAAGATTGTTCCCAAACGAAGCCTAAATAGTCAAAAAAATTAAAAAATTAACTTTTTACTATCTTTCCAAAACACCACAAAATGAATTAAAAGCTCATTTTAATGACTTTTAACTATCTTTTCAAAATTATCATAAATAAATTATTCATATAAAAAATTAAATTAGCTAGATATCAATCGCTATCCAGTCGAATTTAAAAAAATTAATAATAAGTATTATTTCAATAATAGATTGTATATTTTTATATATAAATATAAATCAATCATTGACTACTTATTTTCAATAAAAATGGCATTACAAGTCGAAAGAAATTTTGAGCAAAGGAAAACTGGTGCATTTAAATTTTTTAATTATAATTAAAATCACCACATTAAAATTTTTATTGATATTATTTTAAAACATAACTAAATATTATAATAAAATTTTAAACATAGGAGCCTAATATTGGTGGTAAATTTTTAATATATATATATATATGTATGACAAAAAATAAATAAAATTAATTGAAAAACATTAAATCTATAGAAAAAAGATAAAAATATCTCCTTTCTCTTGCTTGTCCCCACCCCTGGTTCACCATTCCAACTACCTCTCTTCTGTCACCACCCTCTTTCGCCCTCTTCATCCCCCGATCACCCTTCTCGGCGCACCGTAACCCTTCATCCACAATACTCACCACCACTAACTCTTTCCATCTTTGGACAACCCCTCCCCACCTTCCCCACCTCTCATCTAGCTCTTTGTGATTCTGTAAGCCCATTAACTATTTTATCAAACACATTACTAACATATTAAAAGATTTAAAAAGCGATTTGAAATGAGAAAAGAAAAACGATTTGAAAATGAAAAAGAAAAAAAAAAATGTATGAAATTGGGTGAAATATATGTATATTTTATTTGCATTTTACATATATTTTTCATTTCATTTTCTAAATCCATTCTTAAATATCCTAACTAAACACAGCATAAGGATGTACACGGTGCAATTCAGTATGGTTTGATAATAAAATCAAAATCAAATCATGAATTATGGATTAACACATTTGTTATTCATAACCAAACCGTGATTTGGACGGTTTTACCAATTAGTTTATTGAATAATAACTTTAAACAATTATCAAAAAGTTGAATAATATATAACATTAATTTATATAATATTATACTACTAACTAATTTTACATAATATTTTTTATATATATTATACTCATTTACACCAAATTTCGCATTAAATCTCTCTCATACTGATTTTTATTTTGAATATTATTTTACTCCTTTCAACTCCTCTCATCAACCACACTACGACGCCTATATCTCTCACATGTCAACCATTCATATCTAAATCAAATCTCAAATTTAAACCATATTTCAATTCAGATATCAGATCTAAATCATATTTCAAATCTAAAATCTCAAAATCCCGAATCAAAATCCTAAAATAAAGAGAGACGAAGAAAAAAAATAGAGATACGATAAGAAAAAGAGAAACCTAATTGCTACGATATCACAATGGTCATGAGGGAGATAGAGAAACGACTTGCAAGGACAAGAAAATGTTTAGGCGACATTTATAAAGACTCGAGTAACAGTGGGAAGGGGTAGGTAGGCAAAAACTGTCGATGAGTTAGGATTTTAAATGAGGGAAAATAAAGAAAGAAAAAATGATACTTCCATATACGTTGTTATTTATTTTGAATCTATCGCTGAATTTTAATATTTTTTTCTTCTTTAAATTTTACTATAATTTTTTGAACATTATTATTGGTCATAATAATCAACATTAATTGAATTTTTTTTTAAATTAAGGAAAATGCTCTGGTGCGTAATACACACCGTATGTAACCTTACACAAAATTACATAAGTTTTTACAAAATTATATAAGTGATTTTACAAAAATACATAAATTGAATACAAATTCGCATAAGTTTTACACAAATTTTCCTTTAATAGTGTTATTTGTACTTGACTTTTATACATATACACTCAAATTTAATTTTTTTCTATAAAAATTGTTGTTTTTGGAATTAACTATTTTAATAAATTTATAGTTTTTAAAAAATATATACAAAACGTAAAATAAAATAAAAAATAAAAACAATTAATTTTTTAACTATTTTAGCTACCTGCCAAAACAGCCATAGCAATCTTAAAAAATATACAAAACGTAAAATAAAATAAAAACAATTAACTTTTTAACTATTTTAGCTACCTGCCAAAACAGCCATAGCAATCTTAAACGTTTTCAAAATATTTCTCAATTTTAAACAATATGTTATTAACACTCTTTAGCATTTAGCATGTGGCATTATTAATACAAATTACAATAGTCTCATTTTACTTTATTTGGCATCTATCTAAAAATATTACAGTTGTTTCTTGAATTCTTTTTATTTTTAATAATTTCTTGTTTAGAATTATGTCAAAGTTTTTATTTTTCAAGCCTATCTTGTGTATACGAATCTAAAAAATAAAAGAATAATAATAAATTTAAATTTAAAAAATTCACTAAATCTTTAGGGTTTTTTAAAATTTTTTAAACTTTTTTAATCTGTATAATCAAGTAAAACTTAAAAGTAAATATAAAAAAAAATTAAAAAATTGTGAAATCTCGTATTTTTAATGTGTTAATATTTTAGTGAGAAACATTAGTGATTTATTATAGTATTTTAGTGATTTATTAAATTCTACACTTAAATAAAATTTTCTAAATCATAAAATTAAACCCTTACCATCATAATTTAGATAAATTATATTTGGACTCCCTAGAAAATCAAAGAGTGTTGTGTACACCTTAAACATGGATTATTGTGGAAGCTTTAAACATGGATTATGAAGGAAGTTTTGGAAATTTGTTGAGAAAGCTTTTGAACCCTATAAATACACCACTCCCCCTCCATATTTTGGCACAAAGAACACACGCATACACCACCTATATACACCCCAAGATTGATTGAAGAGAAGAGTTATAGATTTTGTCAAACCTTACCTACCTTATGCCTTGGAATTTTGATCACCATTTTTGGAGATCCATGGAGAAATATGGATTGATTAGAGTGTTGGCGACGAAGGAGATTGATTTGAGATCATTCGAATGGTATACAATATATTTCTTTTAAATCTCTTTACAAAGAGTTCCATTTTAATTACGTTCAATTTGTAAATCCTTTTAGCCTTCATTTGACATGCCAAAAAGCCTGACTTTTTGACTATTTTAGTCACAAAAGACAAAATAGACAAAAAAATCAATAAGATAAAATGTCACATCGAAATCATAATCATTTTATTTTTTCTCTTACAAAAGTCAAAAAAGCCAAAAAGCCTATCCCAAACAAGACTTTTTAACCCCAGGCTAAACGAGACTTCTGTGAAAGTATTCTGCATTGATACATTTGATTACTTTAGTCATTTGATAAGTTCTGTGAAGTTATTCTGTGTTGAAAATGTTGATTTGTCTAACTAAATGACATAAAAATTTTCCGTACATGGATCGAGTGGACCCCCGCTAATAGCTTGCAACAATATGTCCAGGTAAGCAGTTGTGCTTAGGTAAGGTGGGTGAAGTTGGTCACTGGTAATGTACTGAGTAGAACCGGATATTTTGTCCTGGGCAAGTTGTCATTTGCTGAGTGGATTTGTCTGTGCAATTTGGTAAATTGTTTGATTATCGTATCATTTGTGCAAAGTCGTAAATAGACGGATCCATATTAATTTATTCTCTATCTGAACATTGTTATTCATGTCATATTGTATACTTTCCGAGTTAATTTATTTTTCAGGTGTAAAACAAATATAGTGGCGATAGGAGTTGAAGCATTTAAAAAACTTATTAAGTTAGAGATTTGGCACTATATATTATTTTTGGAGATTTGTATAAATTATAGACATTTATGTAATTATTTTGGAGTTGATTTGTATTTTTGAGGTTATTAATTAGTTGAAATTTTATATTTGAGATTAACTTAGTTTATTAACGGTCCCAACAAAAATTGCAAAAAAAAATCAATTGAAAACACC